GGTTCCAAAATCAAACAGCAAATTAACCAAAACAACCATAGAGCAATGAGGTAGGATGCTTACTTATAAATTAATCATTATTATTAAAAACGACTGTCATCTCTTTTTAATAAGAAAGTGCTATAAAACACTTATAAAAGAGTACTATAAAATATCTTGTTTATTTCTAACATTTTTAGACTAGACATAATCTGAGAAATTTTATAAATTACCTAACAAAAGGCCCTGGTAGTTAATTTACTGAAATTTTTACCTTTGGGTGGGATTACTTACAAAGCTAGGCACTCACACGACACAACCTAGACCCACACATTAGATTTAGAATTATGTCAAGTGTCATTCTACTTTCTACTATTGGACTCATTGTTGAATGCTCAAAAATATCAATAGATTATGCCATGTGGCCAAGACCAGAAGAATATCTACCAGTTCTATTTTAAACTGTAGGCAACTCAACCATCTGTCTTGGCAACCCATTCCAGGATAGAACCACCCAATTAGAAACCTCTCTCTTGTGTTTATTCTAAATTCCTCAAATAGAGCCTCAAGCCAGTTTAGTCCTCTTCCATTTTTCAAATAATTTTGATAAATTGCTTACCATGTGGTTTATGGGATTATATATTATTAATTTCTAATGATTACTTATATAGGAGTTTATAATCTTAATACTTCGAAGTAGCTTTCCCATTAAGTCAGGGTTCTTAGAACTAAGAACAGGGCATTGACCTAGATCTAAAATTTCTTACCTATGGTTTGAAATTACCACAAGTGATTGGGGGCGGAGAGAAGGGTAGTTAAGATAGAGGAAGGTCCAGTATGACAACAATAGTTGGAAATGATCAATCTGGACAAGAACTGGTGTTGAAAGTAGGTAAAGGGATACACATAACTTTTCACCATCTGTACTGCAGACCATAATGCCTAAAGGAGAAAGAGAAAGAGAGAGAGAGAAAGAGAGTGGGGGGGAGAGGGGGAGTGAGGGGGAGAGAAAGAGGGAGAGAGAGGGAGGAAGAAAGAAGAGAGGTGCTTACCATAGAGGCAGGCTGGGGGGTGGGATTTGGGGAGTGGGAGGGAAACTGAGAACACTGGTGCTGGGAAATTACACTGGTGGAGAGATGGGTGTTAGAAAATTGTATAACTGAAACCCAATCATGAACAGCTTTGTAATCCTCTATCTCACAGTGATTCAATTAAAAAATATAATTTTCAGATAACCAAAAAAAATTCTGACCTACTTTGCTTTCCAGTAATAGGAAGTTTTGGTAAAGATAAAGTAATAGAAGAATTAAAAGCTATCTTCAACAAAATCAGGTCATGCATTATTGCCATTATTTGGTCAACTTACAGCTTTCTCTCTCCCAAGCTGGTCACGATCACGATCACGACCATCCTGTTATTCGCTGATTGCCTCGAGCAGGCCCCAGTAACGTCTCCTTCATCCTAGCCCTGAGATTTTTAAGAAAGTGCCATATTCAAGGCTCTTTAGGAGAATGAGACCCATCATTGTTACTGGTATTTGGCATATTGGGTACGCCACGGGGAGTTTGCCAGACTCTGCCGTGTGGGTAGGTTACGTTTGGTAGCCTGTCAGTATGTCCAAAGTAGGAATGAGATAATAAGATGTCCAGCTCTCCCAAGCTGAGTTAAGTTTATCTCTTTCACAGCCTTTTCCTTGACAAAAGGGGAGAAAAATTCCAAAATTCAGGGCTTCAAATGGATCAAGAGGTCTGTGAATTTTGAGTGTATGCTGCATAATATTTGCATAATGCTTCTTGATGAGCTATAGTAAGGTAACCTTCAGTTTCCATGTTTAAAAGGTATTTATTCTTTTTAGACTAACTTTGTATTAAATACAGTTTTTCGGCTTTCATGGTTTTCTGTGAATAGGATGTTTGCTATTTAGTAATTCATTGCACAAGCCTGACCATTTATTAGTCAGCTACAATGTCCTTCTCTGAGTAACTTAATTCTATTTCTGTAATAATGAAGGGGGTGGTCTAAAGGCCCAGCATTTTCTGAACCCTGGAAAACGTGGACCACCACCAACAACAAACTCAACATTTCCTCTACCTTAAAGCTCTCAGCAAGGAATGCAGTCATGAAATCATTTCGTGCAGTCTTATTATTGAGAACATCCTACTTTTCACCAAACTGAAAATAATCTAAAGCAAGCAGTTTTCACTTGAAAGGTATCTTGTTTTTCTGGTGCTATTACTCCACAACTACTTCACTGATGGTTAACAATTACTTCATTGATAGTTATTTCTGCAAATAGGCTGACTCAACTAATAATGTACACAATTCTACTCAAATTAAGCAATACAGGGCCGGAGAGAGTACAGGGTTAAAAATCTGTGTTAGTGCAGGAATCCATCTTTGGGCAACATAAGAACCATATTTCACCAAATTCAGGTTTTCTCTAGGATTTTGTACCCTGTGTGTGGGGGGAGAGAAGCAAAGGACTTTATCTTTTTAGTCAGTTTTCAGTTTTTGAAGCAATGTTAGAAGAATTGTGCCATTATGTTTTCTTTATTTGATCTCTGGGCTGGAGCAATAGAACAGCTGGTTGTGTGTTTGCCTTGCATGCAACCAACCGGGGTTCAATTCCTCCACCCCTCTCTGAGAGCCTGGCAAGCTACTGAGAGTATACTGCCCTCACGGCAAAGCCTGGCAAGGTACCCGCGACGTATTCGATATGCCAAACACAGTAACAAGTCTCACAATAGAGACCTTACTGGCCCACTCCAGCAAATGGATGGACAAATGGGAGGACAGTGCTACTGTGCTATTTGATCTTCGTTTCTGTATGTATCCCTTCCACTTTAGTTAGAATTTCTTGTCAGGGCAATAATAAATTCATTTTTTAATCCCGTTATGCCATTGAATGGACCATATGACTCAGTCAAATCCCATCGCTAAAACTGATCTCGGAGTTAAAGAAAAAATTGATTTTTTTTTAAATGGAAAAGCTGGGCTGGAGCAATAGCACAGAGGGTAGGGCTTTCACCTTGCACGCGGCCAACCCAAGTTTGATTCCTCTGCCCCTCTCGGAGCCCGGCAAGCTACCGAGAGTATCCCGCTCACATGGCAAAGTATGGTAAGCTACCGGTGACATATTTGATATGCCAAACACAGTAACAAGTGCCACAACACAGATGTTACTGGGCCTGCTTGAGCAAATAGATGAACAACGGGAGGACAGTGACAATAGAAAAGCTACACGTCTTTCATCTCCTTTTTGTCCACCCCCCACACCCGCCCCTCAGGCTGGCATATCCTCTTGCCCTGGACAAAGGCTGCCTTGCCTCCCATAAGAACTGAGCAACACTCCTTCCTGAAATTCTTGTCCCAAGAGATCTTGTCCCAATGGAGAGCCAAGACCTCATTTACCAGAAAAAAAAAAAAAAAGAGGGGGGGTGAAAGTCCAGTTCTGGGATTCTCTCCCTCCTTCCTTCCCTCTCTCCCACCTTCCTTCCTTCCTTCCCTCCCTCCCTTCCTTTTTTCCTTAGCTTGATACCCTTATCTTTGCATCCCATTTTGAAGGTTCGGGCTTTCTCTGTTGGGCCCCGGGTTCCTGGACCCGCTCAGTGGAGCTGGGAAAGGGTCAGAAGTTGCCTTGGAGGGAGCAGTGTCCCGTCAGGCCGGGAAGGCGTCGCTTCCTCCACCCCTGCACCCCCAGCATCCCTGGGCGGGGGCTGGACCGAAGGCTGCCAAACAGGGTTCTTCTGTCCACCTTTAGGACCCACCGCGCCCCGGACGCCTTGGCACCCCTGGGTGCACCCCCGGGAGCCTGCGCGCGGGGGTACCTGTCCGGGGCTGAGCGGGCGCCTGTTAATCCCGACCTCGCCCCTCTCTGTCCGGCAGCCTTCCCTCCCTGGAACCCCCTCAGCCCTGCTGCCCCCGGCTCTGGCCACTCGCCCCAGTCCTTGAGGCCCGGGGGGCGGGGCGGCAGGCCCCGGGCTGGGGGGACGCGGGGCGCCTCGCTGATTGGCTGAGCGGCCGCCCCCTCCCGAGTCACAGCGCGGGAGCCCAGGCGGACAGCCCTGACCCAGAGGCGGTCAGGCCTGGCGCCCAGTCCCGGGCTCCCGAGGTAGCGGCGGTCGCGGGGGGCACCGAACCGAGCCGGGGGACACGGGCCGCCCGGGTCGGCAACCGCCGCCACGGGGACCCGGCAAAGTTGGAGGCGGCGAGAGGCTGCCGCCCGCCGGGAGCACAGGGAAGGGGCCTCGGAGATGCTGCACTGACCACCAGCGCGGGCAGAAACGCGGACCGGTCGGAGACCCCCCCCGGGAAGGGGCCTCGGAGATGCTGCACTGACCACCAGCGCGGGAGTAAGTGCGGACCTGCTGGAGACCCCCATCCACCCGAGAAGGGGTCTCAGAGATGCTGCACTGATCACCGGCGCGGGCGTACGTGAGGACCTGCTGGAGACCCCCAGAGAAGGGGTCTCAGAGATGCTGCGCTGACCACCCGCGCGGGCAGAAGCGAGGACCGGCCGGAGACCCCCGGGGAAGGGGCCTCGGAGATGCTGCGCTGACCACCCGCGCGGGCAGAAGAGCGGACCGGCTGGAGACCGCCCCCACCCCCCAGCGTCGGCCCTCCCCGCGCCCGGAGACCCCCGACAGCTGTGAGTTACCCCGGGGGGCCGCTGAGTCTCCCCTGACCATGTCCGGGGTGCGTGAGTGCCCGTGGGAGCTAGAGAGGAAACGCCGCGCGGGCTCGGCATAGATGCGTCTGCACATGGTCCATAGAGCTGAGATGCTGGGGTGGTCTTAGGGACGGTGAGCGCGTGCAAGCACGAATCCCCGGGAAAGTGCGTTTGGAGCGGTCCCGAGGTGGGGTGGGGTGGGCCTTCCCGGAGCAGGTCACAGCCCCTGACCCAGGGGTGCGGGGAGGAGAGCAGGGGTGGCTCTCGGCGCGGTCAGAGCGGCAAAGTTAACTTTCCCTTCCCTCCCTCCTAACTATCGATCCTTCGCCAGGTTCGCTGGTGGGAGGCTGAGCTGGAAAAGGCCCCAGGCGGTGACGTAGAGGAGGCAGAATGTTTTTGCACTCACGCTCCCTGCCCCGAGGAGTGCTCAGACCTGGCCGCAGGGAAGTGCTGTGCTGGGTGCTCATCGCGGTGACCCTGAGCCGCGGGGCCTCTGGGCTGTGCCCCAGCGCGTGTATCTGCGCCACGGACATCGTGAGCTGCACCAACAGGAACCTGGCCAAGGTGCCCGGGAGCCTGTTCCGACTGATTAAGAGACTGGACCTGAGCTATAACAGAATCGGCCTTCTGGACGCCGAGTGGATGCCAGTGTCGTTCGTGAAGCTGAACACGCTGATTATCCGGCACAACAACATCACCAGCGTTTCCACGGGCAGCTTTTCCACCACTCCCAATCTGAAGTGTCTGGATTTATCGTCCAATAAGCTGAAGTCTGTGAAAAGTGCCGTGTTCCAAGAGTTGAAGGTTCTGGAAGTGCTCCTGCTGTACAACAATCACATTGCCTATCTCGATCCTTCTGCGTTCGGAGGGCTCTCGCAACTGCAAAAACTCTACCTAAGTGGAAACACTCTCACCCAGTTTCCTATGGATTTGTATGTGGGGAGGTTCAAGCTGGCAGAACTGATGTTTCTAGACGTTTCCTATAACCGGATCTCTTCCCTGCCAATGCATCACATAAATTTAGTGTCAGGAAAACAGCTGAGAGGCATCTACCTTCATGGAAACCCATTTATCTGTGACTGTTCGCTTTATTCATTGTTCATCTTTTGGTACCGTAGGCACTTTAGCTCAGTGTTGGATTTTAAGGCTGATTATACCTGTCACCTGTGGTCTGACGCCAGGCATTCCCACCCCATCCCTCTGCTCCAGAATAGCTTTATGAATTGCTCTGACAGTATCATCAACGGTTCCTTCCGGGCACTTGGCTTTATTCACGAGGCGCAGGTGGGGGTAAGGCTAATTGTCCACTGTGACAGCAAGACCGGTCATTCCAATATGGATTTCCTTTGGGTGGGTCCAGATAACAGACTGCTGGAGCCAGAGAAAGAGATGCCGAACTTTCACGTGTTTCGCAACGGAAGTCTGGTTATAGAAAGTCCTCGTTTTGAGGATGCTGGAGTGTATTCCTGTATTGCCATGAATAGGCATCGCTTATTAAATGAAACTGTGGATGTCACAATAAACGTTAGCAACTTCACCGTAAACAGATCTCATGCCCATGAAGCATTTAACACGGCTTTTACTACTCTTGCAGCCTGCGTGGCCAGCATCATTTTAGTACTTCTGTACCTCTATCTGACACCCTGTCCTTGCAAGTGTAAAACCAAAAGACAAAAAAACATGTTAAACCAAAGTAGTACGCCTGCCTCTGTTCTCAGCCCCGGCCCTGCTGGTGACCCTCCCGCTGATGAGCGGAAAGCAAGTACTGGTAAGAGGGTGGTGTTTTTGGAGCCTCTGAAGGATACTGCAGCAGGGCAGAATGGCAAAGTTAGGCTCTTCCCCAGTGAACCGGTGATAGCTGAAGGCATCTTAAAGTCTACAAGAGTGAAATCTGATTCAGATTCAGTCAACTCCGTGTTTTCAGACACACCCTTTGTGGCATCAGCTTAATTGTGCCTGTATTTGTTTGATGTAGTCATGTAATCTTCCCATATTTATCTTTGCGTGTAGTCTACAAACTAAACATCAAGAAAGAAACTGTTTTTAAAATGTTATAACCAAATGGCCACAAACACTTTTAAGTATTCGATAGGAAATGTGGTAAATCATTTTGGTTCACTATGCCAGAGAAACACTTTTTTTCCCTCAAAATTGAAATTCTAGATAACAGTATCTTAGTCTTTAGCACTGCTTATTACTTTGAAACTGATCTGGTAATATTTGTCTAACACTGTCCTTTCATTAAAGTTTCTTGAAAGAAAAAATATATTCAGGTATCAGTATTCTTTCAAAAGAGACTTGACTATAAAATGTACTGGGACCAAAGGTGTATTACTTTAAAGAAAAGTTCTAGTGTCCTAATGTTTTTTTAAAGATATAAAAGAAATAAAGCATCAATTATTTATGAAGCACAAAGGTTTGATTTGAAAATTATTTAATTAATTTATCATTTCAACTCAAAGTGAACACAACACTGATAAAATTTTCCTGAATAATGTCACATCGCATATGGTGTTAGAAAAATAGTGCAATTAAAGGTATATTTGTTTGACTGTTTACTTTCCATTCTGTACATTTTCGATCTCTGTACAAATATCTTACTGAAAGTATGAACTCATCATTTGTTGTCATAAATACGTAGGCATCAAAACCAAAATGTCTGATTCATTCTTAAACCTTTATTCTAGCAGACTAGTACTTGTTCATATGCTTGTGTGTATGTAAATCTTAAAATATATGAACTGTTCAATGGATCCTGCCATATTGTGCTTTGACATTTGAACTAATGTAAATATATGTATTGTGATAATGGATATTGTGTTCTATTTAAAACATAAATCTAATGTTTTATGTGATCAGATTGTTTTATTTTGTGTAAGGCACCCTCTATCAGTAAAGTTCTTAGACTTACAATATAGAGTTTATTTTTGTAAATGGGGAAAAGCCCTAAAGTTTTCTCACCAGTTTCTATACCTTCTATTTCACGTTTTACTCTCACAGTATAAACTTTGGCTTTATTTACTATGCCCAGTTTTGCAACATTTGAGAACTCAGCTGCCTTTGTGCTCCTCTATCCTGCTACAAGGTATCTCAGTACCCTGTCTGAAGGTAGCTTTCTTCAGCTATAGAATGAAATTTGCAGGCTAGATATTTAAGATGTCTTTCTATGCTGCAAGGAATGATTTCCTGGTTCTCACAGATTTTCACTGACCCCCTGAAAATGTACCTCATTCTGATGAAAGACAAGCAAGGTTTGGGTCTACTGGCATGACACAGTGGAACTTTGAGGGTCAAGCCTAGCCCCTTCCCTTTCTCAGGAAGAATTGAAATCAGACTGTGGTTTGTTTAGGACTATGTAGGGAAATATTGATTAGAAGGAACACTGAGATTCAGAATTTTCCCAGTGAAATGATAAAAGTCAAAAGGATTATTTATAACTATCTATCAGTACCAGGAATCAAATCCAGCACATCACACATGGGAGGAAAGTGCTCTACTGCAGACCAAAAAGATTTTATTTTTTGTGGGAATAATGCCAGTGGAGCTCTCCCTCGCAGTGTGGGCTTCTGCTCCTGCTGTGCTCAGGGGGCTGTGTTCTGCCATCAGAGCTGTCTTCCAGGCCCCAAATGCTGACTATTTTTTTTTAACAGAGTGAACATGAGAAGTCAAAGAATGTAGTCAGAAAGACAGAAGAGTGGTTGGAAAATGGATGGCAAAGGAAAAACAGGGACGTATTGTCACTGGGCCTAAAAAAGAGAAGGACATTTTTTAAATGATGGAAGAGGGCAATGGGGACAAAAAATAGAGAAACAGACGAGCACAGAAGACTGAGAATTGATCTAGGCAATGTTGGTCTTGAGGGAACTGCGGATGCTGGTGAGAGGGTGAGAAGTGTCAGCTAGGTTCTCAGGGCAAACACCCGTCAGAGAGTGAGTGGCCAGCGCCCTAAGGGTGGGGGTCAGAGCTACTGATCAGCAGTGTTGAAAATATTAGTGTTAAAAAAGTACTACCTCTACCTTTAGAATAGATCTCACCCCTTAGGTAAGATACTCTCAGTTCTCACCATTAATGTAACAAGCAAGAATCCTTTGAAATCATCTTCTCTTTCATATTATCAGAAACTTAGGCTCAGAGATCTTGTCATATGTTCCAGTCACACAGATATTTTGAACACTAGGGAAAACTCTGGAAATCAAGGCAAGGTCTGCCTCCAGCGACCATGATCACCCTGACTTTGAAAGTGTGGAATTGCTGGAAGAAAGGGTCTTCAGATGAAACCTTTTCTGAATGGGTTTGCAAGGTGCCTTCTCCCAGGAACTGTGTTTTGTTTTGCAGAGGCTCTTACATAGTGCTCAGAGTAAGAAGTTTGTGGACTGATTGTGACTTCGAGTAAAGAACAGGCTAAATTGTGATCAAACTAACTATACTTAGAAGCAAAGTGAAATCCTGAATACCGAAAAAGAGAAAGCTACCTTTTGAACATAAGTAGGAAGGCATGGTAATAAAAAAGCAGGAACTGAATATTACGATGTGGAATTTTAAGTTATAGATTATTTTCTTTTGTTAGGAACTTGTTCACATGTATTTTAAATATAGAAGCAACTAATTTGTACTTTATAAAATTGTCCCACTCAAAATTTTGGTACAGTTTTCCTTCTAACTGACAATCTGAACTTATGTAACTGGGTTTTTTTTTCTTCAGCCACTTAGTTTTCATAACCCAGTTGATTGGTGGATTTTTTTAGAAATCAAGCAAAAATTATGGATAGAAACTTCTTCTGGTTTACAGATTTTTGCACTACATTTTTGATTAAATAATTTTAGTTATTTCACAGTGATTAGAAGATATTAGGTTATAACATGCAATTAATAATGAATTAAAATTTTAAAGTAAATTTAAGATTTATAATCTGAAAGACAGCTCAAACCATTTTCATATTTATAAGTCAATTTCTGCATTAATCCTCACTGTTTGACCTAAAGAGATTTAGATCTATTTATTTTTAGCTTTAATTACTTGCTTAAATTACTTGTCCAAGAAAAAATGGTCTATGTTTTTATAAATTAACATTTTTCTGAAAGATTAATCAGAAAGAACATAATAGAAACTTCTGGGGGTAGAACTAGAAAAGGAACAGGAACACCCATTGTCAATCTAAATCCTAGAAAGAATCACCATGTTTAGAGCTCTAAAGCAGGATACCATCTAGAACATTCTCTGACAGTGTTAGTTTTTTCTTTGTCATAGTTCTGCTTGATTATTGCCACTTTGTGGTGTCATCTGGTTGACCAAGTGAAATAGCAGGAGACATGAAACCAGGCCTACTGAGAGAATCATAGGAAAAGTGACATCTCAAAAAGTTGCTTTCTACTCACTCTCTATCCAGAGAATCAGATTCAGAGGATCCAATTTCCTGATGCTCATCATATTTTCAAATTTAAATTTTTTCACTTCATTTCACTTTTCTCTATGGTCACGTGAAAGCATATTTCTGTTGATTTTTTTTTTAAATTGAAGCATGGGACCAGAGAGATAGTACAAGGATAAGGCATTTACCATACACATTGCTGATTAGTGACTGAACCTTTATATATTACATATGGTCATTGGAGCACTGCCAGGAATGACCTTAAGCAAAGATCCAAGAGTAAGTCCTGAACACCACTGGGTATGGCCTCCAAAATAAAATTGAGGTATTGCGACTTACAGTGATATTAATGTATTAGGCATACAGTATTACTGCAGCAACAGACACCTATCTTTTTTTTTTTAAACACCATGTAATTCTGATTAAACAACCTGAAACAAGATTGCAGTAAAATGTGTATTTGGGGACTGTGTCAAAATGCTCGATTGTTACTTGCAATGATGTATTAATAGAGTCTTATTGCCCTCACACATTTTTTCCACCAAATCTTATTTTATTAAAGCACCAAGATTTGCAAAGTTATTCACAGTTGGGTTTTAGACATGCAATGTTCCATCATGTGTCTTGCCACCAGTGTCAACTTCCTTCCACCAGGGGTCCCAGGTCCCCTCTCCTAACCCCTTCCCAGCTCACCATCTGGCCAGGCACCTTTTCAAGTTTGACTATTGAAGTTCAGTCATCATGATTTTGATTTTGACTCTGGTTTGGATGTTTAGCTCTCTCATTCCTTAACCCCACTGATGTACCTTGATCCCTGTGCTTATTGCTTCGAATCTGTCTCTTCTCCCCTCTCCCTCCTGCCTCCACTATCTCTCTTTCCTTCTCCTCCCTATATTTTGGGATCAAGGGTGATCTGAGCATCTCCCCTTGAAACTGTTGCCTTTCCTCAAGCGATCTTTCACACAGAAGGAGCAAAAGAGAAGCACTAGAATGGATGAGCATGTAAGGTGCTTAATGGATTACAGCAACAGAAATAATCTCCAGATTGTTGGCATATCTGGAGAGGAAAATGGGAAAGGAGAAGAACAAGTGGTGCAGAGATTATAGCTGAGAACTTCCCAACTCTCGAGAGGGGCTGATATACAGACTCAAGAGGCCCAAAGAGTGCCAAGGGAAACACACCCACACAGAACAACACTAGACCATACAGTAATCAAAAAGACAAAATCCAAAGAGAGAGACAGACTTCTTAAAGCTTCAAGAGAGAAAAGGAAACTTAACTATAAGGGAAACAACATGATCACAACAGATCTCTCATTTGAAATGGTACACCAGAGAAAAATTTCTTATAGGCTGGAAAAACAGGAGTTTGGTTCCTGGATACTAAATGAACTCCAGAATAAATTGTTGGCTCTAATTTAGGATTTACATTTTTTCTGAATTATGACTTAAAGTAACTTAGTCTCTGATTTCTTTCATATTGTAGACCAAATTTGGTTGGAAAGCAGTCACAACAGATCTGTTTCATGACAGTGATCTTAGGAGCTATTGCATTTGAATAGATGGTAGTAAAACTGACATATTTCAAGAATATTGGATGATTTTATCAACATAGAGGCATTTTTTAAAATTTTTTTCTTTCTCTTG